TGTTCATTCATATATTGCGGAAAACGAGAGCATCAGTGTGGAGGAGATGTTGTTTACGTCAAAACTGAAACCAAGCCATTCACACAGAACGCATATTTATCACATTTTCTAGAGGAACATCTATCAGCATTGCACTCGCGTCTCACAGAGAGCGGCATGTTTAGAAAGCCTATGTAAAATTAATGCAAGTTCAACTTTTAAAAAACATTTCTAAAGACGTTATGGCGGTTTTTCCCCATCCCACTGTATCTCATGTTTTTAAATGAAGAAAGTAGTCTGATTGGATTTCGGTCCTTTGTATTAAACTATACACACATACATGATGCTGTTTTGTTTCTAATTATTTAAGCAACTTAATTATATATGGGTTATAAACATTATTTTAAACATCATGCACTTTTTTCAAAGATAGTCGTGTTATTTTATTGCTTTAATAAACGTGCATTAGTAATATTTTGCTCGATGCGCCCTCTTGTGGCCTCAGGAGAGAAGCCAAAAGCTTTTTTCCCCCTAACTGAAAGTATGCCTTTTAAATTCGAATATAATTCGAATTTTGATAATATTTAAGTAGAAAATTCGAATTTAGTTTTTCAGTCATTTTGACAGCCCTACAGCAAACCTTTTTAAATATTTTGATAAATTACTGAAAAAAATAAATAAATAAATGACTTTTTAAACCGTTTAACTGATTGTATTAATCGGTCAAAAATTCTTACGGTCGGTTAACGGTTACCCGGTTAAAATGAACATCCCTAATTGTATACCTTCTCTATTTGCTGTAACTCTACACTTGCTCTAGCTTCTGTTACTATTTGCCCTACACCTGCTCTAGTTACTGTTGTAATTTTATATGTAGGCCTAATCAATATGCTATAACTCTAATCTGTAACTCTATACCTACTCTGCCGTAATTCTATCTGTTGTAGTTCCTATAGATCAATATTGGCTGTAGCGTCTATACACTGAACTTTTCAGTCACTGAGCGTCACACACATTGGCAGCTCTGTGAGAGTGAGAGAGAGGGTGGAGTTTAGATCTGAGAAGTTGGAGTGATGTCATCACTCAGGTATGTGAAACATGAGAGAGACTCAGTGAGGGAGCCAGAGAACAACAAACTTCTGAACGTACTGAGACTGGGACTCATTACACTGTTTTGTCCTATATTTGTCAAAATGTGTCATTTTATTCATTATCAGTCAATCCTTGTGGCATTTGAACAGCTTTTCAGTTTACCAGCCCAGATCTTTTAGATCTTTAAGAGTACTGACTGCTGGTATAATTTCTAAAATATTCCAAGCTCTGGCCTACAGAAGCAGGAGCCATAAGGTTCTTAAAATTGTACCTTGTAACCACCTCTGTCTGCTGTCAGGGGGAGCATTATATGAATATACCCCACTGATTTTGTCATTTTCCTAGCGAATGTGACACCATGTTCCCTAGTTAAACAGCTGTGCCACATTTCCTGGCACTGTCCTGAGACACATCTCTAAAAAACATCACATCTGCCTGTTCACTGCCTGTTTGATTTTGTGCTGAGGACATCTGGTGTGATTATGCACACAATGTCCAGCTCTGCCTTTTCTGATAACTTTCTGGGTACAGTAACAGTTGGTGGTTCAAGTAGCTGACACATAAAAAAGACTGAAAGCATTAAGGAGCGTCAGAACCAGAAAACGGATCAGAATGATCAAAGATCCAGTGTGTTCAGTATGCAGCAAGGTTCTGTCATCAAAGTCATCAAATTCTGAAAAAAAGAACAGTGGAGGAAAAGAGGAGAAGTGACATGAACTCTGAGGAGGGAAATGAAGGGTGGAGAGATGTTTCTCTGTCTGAAAGCCATAAAGAGCTTCATTAACGCATGAGCTGCTGCATCCTCCTGAGAACACTCTGTCTGTCCCTCTCTTGCTTCTTGTCTCTCTTTGTGTCTGTCTCTCTCTCATTAATCTCAGATGTTGTGCAATGGAATGTTGTTCTCAGTCTGCAGATGGATTTAGCAGAGAGCACAAAAATATATCTGCCCCTAGACACACACTCACTCACTCATACAGGCATGACAATGGTATGGAGCTTTGTTAACCCTCAGTACTGCAGCGGTCAAAGAAATGAGAGAAACATAGAGCTAGCTTAGTAAATGTGTGCATGATTGTGTGAGAGATTAAAGTGGGTTTTTACGTGTTCCTAAATCCTGTTTTAGATTATATGTAATTTGCTGCTCTGTACTGAGATACTTATTATGTTTTAATGGATTTAAAGCTAATGAGGTTTTATAGATTTTATAGTAGTTTAGTTTCAGTTAGTCCAAATCCACATCTTCCAAACAGTAAATATATAGCCAGATTAGTTTTATTATGATTTATCAATGTTGATTTTCAGTTTTTCATCTAGAAGGCCAGTACAGACGCAATGACCTCTGAAGTAATTGACAGGCACTGTGTTTAATTAAACTCTTAACCTTTTAATTTCCTTATAAAGGCATAGTAATTGTAAAAGTCCTATTCATTATTGTGCAGCGAGTGGTCCTGCCGATGATTTATATTAGCAATTTGAGCAAGTGAACAGTAGATACTCTGTTAGATAGGCTAAATTGTGTCTGTGTGTGTTGTTCATCTGCATTTTTTTAGATGTGTGGTGCGCTCCATGGCGACATGATGACCCCGATGATCTGACCCCCATGACCCTCCTTTGACAGTCTTTGCACTGAACAAGTGTTGAGCAACAGGTCCAAAATTAAGAGTTAATAAAATCCTGTGAGCACTCATATTTTTCATTTGTTCCTGTAACACATAAAAGTGAGTGTATGTTTAATAAGTCATTCTGCTATATAAGGAAAACAGAGCTAATATCCAATCTCTAGTCCCTAAAAGTTAATTCTCTGCAAGTTTTTTTTTTTTCCAGCCAAGTATGATAAGGTAGTATATTTGTGTATGGGGGTTTAGGAAATTTTAAGTGTTTAAAATGTTGGGAGACATAGGACACGGTCCAACAAATGGTTTCACTACTTGTGAGGGCTAGATGTCTGAAAATGGCCTCATAAATATAGTAAAACCTCTTTAAACTGGCTTGTTAGGATGGCCCTCGCTTGTAAAAAAAAAAAGATTCACAAATAGGCCAGGTTATGTCTTCAAATCTAAACATGCAAAAATTTGTCTATACATGGTAGGGGAGGATTTGTTCTGGATTACAGTTAAAGTTTTGGATGTAGTAATTATAATTTACCAACAATAGAAATCTGTGGGGGCCCCCACAAATATAAGTGTACATGGTTGACTGTGTCTGTATATGTGGTGTCAGTATGTCACAAGACATGATGTTTACCTGCAACTGCTCAGCGCTGCGTTGTGATCCAAAAATAGAGCTGTAGGAATCTGGCAGCCTGTGTTTGTGTGTGTAAAAGAGAGAGACACTAGACATTCATGTTAAGAGTCAAACTCTGACCCCTGCTGGAAAAGAGTAATGAGTGCCTCATTCAACAGTCTTTATGTGAGATGAAAACAGTGATTACATTTGGTTTCAAAATAGCACTGGCTGACTCTGTTATTCTTTTTTACAGGTACTCGGGGCACAGTTCGTAAACTGTGTGTGGAAGTGACGTTCAGCCTTTCGTTTGTGTATGTGATGGAGGGCTTTCCTGTCCATTGACGCTGCGGCACTGCCCTGCAGTCATGTCTGCATGCAACACCTTCACTGAACATGTGTGGAAACCAGGGGAGTGCAAAAACTGCTTTAAGCCCAAGAGCCTTCACCGGCCTCCAGAGCAAGCCAATGCTGCCAGTGAGAGCAAGACAAACATCAGTGCCAAACTCACAAACAGCCAGAGGAGCATTTCCTCATCCCGTGCAGGGCAGGTCCGCCCACCTGTCGCCAAGAAGCCTACTATTGCAGTAAAGCCTACCATGATGCTGCCATGCTCCCCACCAGGGTTGGACTCGGAGGGAAATGTGCCAAGGCTTACAGGAGCGCAGGTCACTAAAAGCTCACCTTTCACTGTGTGGAACCAAAACAGCCTGAACAGCTCAAGACCCACAGGGACAAACAACAACCAAGGGGAGGATTTGGTCAGGCAAGCAGAGGCACATGGTGCAATTTCCCCGCAGCCAACTAGCAGCAACAACAACGGACTGACGGATGTGCTAAAAGAGATTGCTGGCCTGGGACCTTCTCCAAGCTCAAGTAGAGATGACTTCTTTGGCCGGATCTGCAGTTCATACCGGCGCTCATTAGAGAGGGGCCTTCCAGCATCAAACTGTATCCATGCTGGGAGTAGTGGTAGAGGAGCAATGAAACGTGTTTCCCTCAGTGACAGTGCAGAGGTCATCAGTTCTGAGGGAGGACGTTTCTGTTATCCAGAATTCTCCAGTGATGGTGATGATGAGGAGGATGAGAGTGGTGATGAGGATGACGACGATGGAGAGCATGACAGTTGGGATGAAAGTGATGAGGAGTTGCTAGCAATGGGGATACGAATGCGGGGTCAACCTAGGTTCGCCAACTTCCGTGCAGCTACACTGTCCCCGGTTCCCTTCGCTGTAAGGAAGAAGTGGAATACAGTGCCTCTACGCAACCGCTCACTGCAACGGTTCTGTGCAGTGGATTACGATGACAGTTACGATGAGATTCTCAATGGATACCCATCTGTTGACTCAAATGGAGCTCCTGTTCTTTTGTCATACACCTCTGACCACCAGGGTAGTGGCTTTTTGTCCACTTCTGAGTCCACCACCTCACCCGAGTCCTTGATTTCTCTGCCCGATGAATCCTGCGCTGGCAGCAGTAGGGGCACTGGTGACCAGAGAAATGGTCTTCCTTTCCCACCTAGCAAAGAACCGTCAGCCAAAGGACTGAGTTTGCCAAAACCCAGTGAAACGCATAAAGCTGTTCTAGCCATCCGACTGGAAGAACAAGACGACGTTCAGAGAGAGGGTGTGGCTCTCCCACAAGCTCTTCCAGGCCAGCCAATCACAATCAGCTTCAGTCCAACTGAGGAGCAGGCCAAGCCTTATCGAGTAGTGAATCTCGAGAAGACTCCTTTCTGTAAGCCCTATACAGTGGTGGATGTGTCTGCCTCTATGGCCACTAAAGATGAACACACTCACTCAAGTGAAAGCACTCCAAAGTCAAGTGGGCCCAGTGTTGTGCTTTGCCCTTCTGCTGAAACCTGTCCTGTCTCACCCACCTCGCCTCAGTACCCCAGATCTGCAGAT